GTCTCAATAGTTCTAATAAATAAACTACTGCATTGAAAACCACATTAAAAATTGTAACTAAACTTAGCCACCTTAAGTCAACTCTGCAGACATCTACAGGCATGCGTGGCCTATGCTGGCAGAAAGCATATACTTTGTACTAAGAAATTATTTCATAATCAAGCTCAGGAACATCCCAAACCTGTTTCTACTGGTATCAGAAGTATTATTGTCTTACAATATCCATCAGTAATTATTCACAACAGTATCCACAAAGCCATCTAGGTACCTTAAATACAAACAGTTTTTGTTTGGCATGTTGAAACAAACAAGCAAAAAGTCTTAAAAAGTAGAGAATAGATTTGATATGTATATATGCACATTGGATATGCATATGCTGTATAAAGCTGTGGTTTCATATGCTATACTTTGGAAAGAGAAATTGTTTTACAGCCATGCCATAATGAGTACTGTATTAAGCAGGGGGGAAAAAGAGGAAAAAAGCACATACTTCTCCTTTTTTAAACTGTGAGTGTCTGTTTCTTTCTTCTTAACCTAAACTCTGCCTACTATTTACTGCTGATGTCTGAAATGACACTCAGATGAGTATCCCTGTGTTAGCCAGCCTCCTCCTTCCTTCAGAAGAAACACACCTGTTTACAAGCAAAGCTGCATGTTATGGCCCATCAGTCTTGCATTGGTTGTCAGTATCTGCTGTCTTTACCTTCTCTCAGGTGTCATCATAAGAGCTTTAGTATTGTCTTCAACTGCTCCCCTTCCAAATTATATTCATTACCTTTACAATTTAACAATTGAGCCCTATGAAAGTATGCCTAGACAAACTGACAGCTGTCTCTAACCAAACCTTGTAGCTTTGTGAGTTAAATCGCCCAAGACAAGCAGAGAATGGAAATGAGTTTAGGCCACAAAGTTGCAAAGATTTATTTATGTGCTAACCTGAAGCTCTGTGAATAGTCCTGTTGACTTCAGAGGGATTACTTATAGTCCATGAAGTTAAGCAATCTGCGTAAGTGATTGCAAAATTGAAACCTTAGATAGACTGTAATTGGATTTTGAAAAAGGCTCAGAAATTGAATACACAGCTATAAATCACATGTCCTCGAAGAGTTATAAATCACAAAAAAAGAACGTTTGAAATATAATTATTTTTCTTAGTAGCTCAGCTGTATGTGGACTAATGAATAGAATAAGATTAATTTTAAATTATCACAGATCATTAAATGTAAATTCCCTGAAGCATGTCGTATAAGTCAAAAGATATGAATCTTTGAAGGCACCCTTTTATTTACTTTCTTGTTACAACTTCAGCTACGATAAGCGAATTACCTGCATGACACAGTGAAAAGAAGTTTATCAAATATTAAAGCTGGGTGAAAATTAAAGATATATCCTACAAATATGCCTAACAGTTAGGATAGAATCAGTATTAAATGAGTGTGTTTATTACCAGCTATATTGTGCTGGATATTTGAAGAGGACACATACTTTGTTTTAATTAGCCATCTCTTTCACTGGGTTGCTTGCCCAAAGCCTCCCAATAAGGAAAAAAAATTGTAGACATTGGTCAAAATGCTTGTAACAAATCTTGTTTTAAATTGAAGCTATTTATTCAGAAACCAATCTACTACTGCAGCAGTAATCAATGTGTTTTCCCTTGGAGTAGAACTGTTCCCGTGCTACTGGAGGACTATTGTTAATTGCCTGTAACTAAATGATTGCTGTGCTTCTGGATGTAACTCCCTGGCACTTGCTCATTTGTTGTGTTTAACAGAATGCCTGTCTCCCTAAGGGTTAGCCGAGTAATTTTCCTCTACTATTTTCTACATTCAGCCTCAGCTCCTTAAGGAGGGCCAGGTCTGTAATTTGAGCAATGTAACACAGAGGCTAAATAGATTTTAAAAGGCTTGCACTTTTTGTCTCTCCCCTCTGATGTGGAATTGTGCTGAAATTGAATCTTTTTAGCATGGAGCCGCTACAGGAAACTTGAATTAATCACACTTCAAAGGAAGTGTAATGCTTGCTGCAGCAACTGTGCCTAAATCGCAATGCAAAAGGCAGAATAAAGCAGCAGAAAAAATTGTTATTGTGAAGGTAGCCTTACACTCTAACCTTGCTGTTACACTCTAACTTATCTTTAACAGTCACTGCATCATTGTTAGCATACACATCCCCAACACCCTTGGCGTTCCCAGAGCACCTTTCAGGAGTAACCCCTCCCACAAAGGAGCCAGACGCGCCCTCCCCAATTCACACTGGGAAAACCAAGGCACAGAAATGTGAAATGGCTTCAGTCACCCAAGGGGCCAACAGCAGAGGCAGGACGAAGCCTTCCGCTCCTCACACCTTCAGTTCAGCACAACACAGGGTAACGCTGTTCACAAAATTCCTGTGGCCGCTCAACGCCAGCCAGTGCCCCTGTGGGGCGCAGTTTAGCATCCTGCAGAAATACTAATTCAAGGCTTGAAAGCAATCAGCCTGGTGTGGTGGAGTGCCCAGGCCAATCTGTCCCACCTTCCATGGTGCTGCACAGGTGTGGCTGTCCCACTTCCAGGGCTTTGGGGGTTAGCTCAGGCATTTGCAGACCTGGGTGTAAGGACGCAGCAGTCTGCCTGGCTAATCACTGCTCCTCTCTGCCTCTGGACCCTGACAAACAGCACCCAAGACAGAGAGTGAACCTGTGCTAATAGACATTGTCCAGCATGGAGAAAAATACATGCTTGCTATGCTAGATGGACAGAGCATGAAACTTACACGGCAAACAAATCTGTTTAAGAAAGAACCACATTATTCTTGTGCTCATAAGTGGTCATGATGGGCTCGGCAGCAGCACATAAAAAAGCAATTTCTAGTATGTTTCAGGGTGACTTAGAGAATTTTGATGTTTGCTTTGATTGCCTAATTTAGGACAGTTTCATGTGTGTTTAGATAGACTTTACTGAAGTAAAAATATAGGCATAAACTTGAAATATTTTTTGGAGAAAAAGATAACTAAGAGGGACTCTCTGTTGGCAAAAGTTATGCAGTGCATTAGTCTGATTTCATGCACAGTGACAGAGAAGAGATGACTACCTGCAGTTACTTTTTCCATTTAATCTCAAAATCATTAATTTAGGAAAAACTTTTGTTTTCCACTTGTAAGGTTCTTCCTTGCCTTTAATGAGTCATAACAGCAGGCACATAGAGTATTTTGTGCCTGGCAACCCAAAATATTAAAGCCTTTCTTGTAGTTACCAGAACAGCTGCATCACCTGTAGTACAAAATGATAAACAGGGTATAGTGAGCCAGTGCAGACTAATTTCCATTTCCATTTATATTCTAAAATACTGTATTACTTGTCTATGAAAACAGTTTTTTGTTGGGTGTTTTTAATAACATTCCCCTCTCTGGACCAGAAAAATTATTGAAAGTCTGAAATAACCATGCCAGTCTTAAAAATATCTAACACAAAGGAGTTTCCAGCACAGTTTTGGAGAGAGTGACATGGAATATAAATGCCTTTTTATTTTATTTTATTACACTTTTAGTGTCTTCTAGAGAGCAATGAAATCTTCTTACAGTTGCCTCAAAATAATAAAAAAGTGTGTGATTCTCAGTAGATGCAGTCAAAATAAATGGAATTGTCACTTTTTCCTCTAACCTTTTATTTCTCTAATTGAATTGTATTGTGCTGGAGTAATGTATCTACATAACCACACACACAAAAAAAAAAAAGGTTACTTCAGGGCTACCCTGCTTCACTCAGACAGAAGCTGCCCACTGGAAGAGGATACTGTGAAAATAACACGGAACTGAGCTTTCTTCAGCACAGATTTTTATGAAGCAAACTGTATATCTTGGATTTCCAAGATCTGATTTCTTGGCATTCCTCAAAACTGAGTGATATTGGAAAAGTATGGGTGGTCTTAAGATATGCTGTTTATTACTCATTTCAAATTGCAACATTGTTAGTAACGCTCT